TGGGCCAGGATTGAATGAATTGTTAGGAATAATAATGTGCACACCTAAGAGGGTGAAATGTAACAGGAGTCTGTCTACACAAGGCTATATTGTAGCAAAGTCCTGGGAAGATTAGTTTTCTGCATTTTTCTCAAATGTATGTCATTTCTTTCTCTTTCAGATATGTGTGTGTGTTTGTTGAAATTACCAAATATATATATACAGAAAGTTAAAATAAATTATTTAATCATTTAACATTTCATTTTCATTCAAATGAGAAATGCTTATGAATTTTATTCTAATTGAATGCCCTTCATACTCAATCCAAGTTTTCACCATTGTTGGGTATTGAGTCCTGAGAGTAATGCCATGCTATATTCAAAGGTCTACCCCTTCCTTAATTAGCTTTCCATTTAGTGGGAAGAACATAAACATACAAACAGCCAGAATATGCAGTATGAGATGTTAAGAGAAATAGAAATAGGAGCTACAAGTAAATTTGAAGTAGTTAGTAAATGTTCAGAAAATTCTGGCCATTATCCTTAATAACAATTAATAAGGAAATCGTTCATTCATGAATGCATGCATGGTTTCCTGCTATAGAAAGTGATGGCATTTCTACTATCCTTTCAATACATCTACCAAATCTGATTGACGGGGCTAGTAAAGAAAATGGGGAGAGGTACTAAAATTTATTTAAAACTAATGTTGTTGTTGTTGTTATATGCCATGGAGTTGGACCCGACTCATAGAGACCCCTCCTTGGGTCTCCAAGGAGGTATCACTATGAAAGTAGATTGCCCAAACTTCCTTCCAAGGAGTGGCTGGTGGGTTTGAACCACCAACCTTCTGGCTAGCAGTCAAGTGCCATAGGCACTATGCCACCAGACCTCTTCAAAAATTAATATATAATAATCTTAATTAGATCTCTTATTCTCTATTCTTCCCCACATTATACTTTTCAGTATTTTATAGATGAAGAAACTGAGAATGAGAGAGGTTAAGTGTATTGTCAAGGCTACACAGAGAAAAAGTAGCACATCTGTGTTTTGGACCCAAATGTGTTTCCTTCCAAAGCTAATACACTTTCCTCTTCAAGACACTTATTTCTATTCTACCAAAAAGTCGGTATTTGGGTCTAATCCATAAAAAAGGAAAATATTCAGCAATGATGTTCAGGTAGAGAATTTTCTGGACAAATAATCCGACATATGAAACATGAAATTGGAATGCATATTGGAGGTATAATATGGAGAGTCTTAACTACAGGTCAAATTGTCTTGTTACTCCATACAATCAGAGACATTTTTGATAGTCCCGCTCAGAGAAGGACAAAGTGTTTGCTGTTGTCATCTAGTGGGCAGAGGTGATGATGTTCAAAATCCTTCAATGCACAAGACAGCCCTCACAACAAAGAAGAATTTGGTATGTCAATGAGAAACCCTGATGTAAATATGTTGCTGTTACTTGCCACTGAGTATGTTCAAGTCATATGTACAACAGAATGAAACACTGTACAGCCTTGCAACATTCTCACACTTATCTCTATGTTGAAGTTACAGTATCAATCCGTCATGTTGAAGGTCTTCCTCTTTTCCCTTGACCTTCTACTTTGCCCAAGCATGATGTCCTTCTCCAGGAACTAGTCCCTCCTGATAATATGCCCATACTACCTCATATCAAGTCTAGCTAGTCTCAATTCTGAGCAACATTCAGGCTGTACTTTCTCCAAGACAGAAGTTTATTCTTCTGGCAGTCTGTGGAATGTTTAATATTCTTCACCAACAACATAATTTAGAGGCATAATTCTTCTTTAGTATTCCTTATTCATTGTCCAGCTTTTGCATACATATTACGTGATTGAAAAATACCATGGTTTGGGTTAAGCACACTTTAGTCTTCAAAGTAATACTTTACTTATTAAACAGTTTAAAACTTCTTTTGCAGCAGATTTGCCTAACACAATTTGTCATTTGATTTCTTGACTGGTGCTTCCATGGACTGTTCCCAAGTAAAATGAAAACCTTGACAACTTCAATATTTTCTTCATTAACCATGATGTCATTTATTGATCCAACTGTGACATTTTTTTTGTTATCTTTATGTTGAGATGGTGTAATCCATACTGTAGGCTGCAGTCTTTGATCTTTATCAGTAAGTTCTTCAATTTGTGCTCACTTTCAGCAAGCCAGGTTATGTCATGCATATTTCAGGTCATTAATGAGTCATCCTCCAATCCTGATGTCACAGCCTTCTTCATATAGTCCAGCTTCTTGGATTACTTGCTCAGCATACAGCTTGAATAAGTATATTCAACCCTGGCACACAACTTTCCTGATGCTAAACACCACAATATCCTCTTGCTCTGTTTGAATGGCTGCCTTGTGGTCTATGTCAGTGTCCACATGAGTATATTTAAGTGTTTTGGAATTCCCATTCTTTACAATTTTCTCCATAATTTGTTATCATCCACACAGTCAAATGTTCTTGCACAGTTACTGAAACATGAGTAAACATTTTTTCTAGCATTCTCTGCTTTCAGCCAAGATCCATCTGACAAAAGCAATGCCATCCTTATTCCACGTCCATTTCTGAATCCAGCTTGCATTTCTGGCAGTTCCCTGGCTATTTACTGCTACAACCCTATTTGACGTACACAAATGTTACTTGTGTGTGATATTAATGATATTTTTTGATAAATTCCACATCTCTTGGATCAACTTCCTTTGGAATGAGCACAAATATGGATCTCCATTATCTGATGGAAATAATGGTAATTAAGGTATTTTAATAATATCATAATTTAAATATTAGGTGTTTAAAGTATGAAAAATAAGCATTTTAAGTAAGAAACTATTTTGAAATAAGACACAATATTTAGATACTGTAGGTATTTTAAGTAAGAAGTAAGTAGCATGATCAAACATATGCCTTAAAAAAGATGAATCTAACATCTAAATTTAGGGAGAGCTGGAATGTGTGACTGGAGGCAAAGGAGACAGTTAATAGATTATTCTAAGAAATCTATGGGAGCTCTGGTAGCATAGTGGCTAAGACACTTGCCTGCTAACCAGACGGCTGGCGGTTCAAACCCACCAGCCACTCCTCGGAAGGAAGGTTGGGCAATCCTACTTCCGTAGTGATATTGCCTCGGAAACCCAAGGAGGGGTCACTATGAGTCAGGTTTGACACGACGGCACATAACAACAACAATAACAAGAAATCTATAATCAAAATGAAGGCAACGGCCATGAGATAAGATGAGACACACTGAGAAATACTGCACAGTGAAACCGAAATCCTAATGACCATCTGATTTCTTCCTCTACCTTTCCAAAACACCATCTAACATCCAAGTGTAAATTCCAGGGTGTTAGCCTGAGCGAACAGACAAATAACAATGCCACAAGTGAAGAAGCAACAGCACTGCTTTGTGCTTGTTATTATTTTGTAGGAAAATCAGCTAATATCAGTTTTGAACCTATCAAGTGAATGGTGTCAGTGAAAAATCAATGTGTGTGATAGATACAGTACACATTTAGAAATACAGATCTTACTTTTGAGAGTGAGCTAACTCAGAGGTAATCATTATGCATCCATTTACATAATGAAATAAATATGACACTGGGAACAGAAGAGTGTTAGAAATTCTTTTTAAAGTTAAGAAAAATTAAGGAAGAGAATTGAGAAAGAACTGAATCAGGAACCCATTTATTTATTTTACAGAAATACAAAAAAATAGCCCTTACAGATAGAAAGAACTCAACAGATAATTTCTGATTGAAATCCTAATGAGTTTGCAAAAGAAACTGAAAGTGAGAGAGAACGAGAGAATATGATTCAAGAGCCTGCTATCCAGAAGATAGGCAGTGAGCATTGCTTTAGTACTTAATGTTGCAAAGGTGAATAGCCAGCTTGAAGACTGAGAAAATGGCTTTAGTTATGGAGATTAGGGGGTCATGAGGTTTGGAGCATTTTTAGTCACATTAGAGTGGCTGACGCTGGACATCTATATTTATTTATAAGCTGAAAAATAAATGGCAAGCTGAGTAGAGAGAAGTTTGGTGCAGAAGGAAAGGCTAAAAATGGAGATAAGAGGGATGTTTTCTTATCTGGAACAGATCTATTTCTTTACTACCCACACATCAATAATTAAACACATACTCTGAGTGAATATGGGTACAACTTCTAAGATTTGTCATTGAGACAATGTAGCATTAATAAAAAGGAAGCCTTCCAACAATTTGAGTTTCGTGTCTATGGCTTGAGGCATCTAAATGAGGTCAAAATTTAGAATGCATAAGGCCTTGGAGAGAGCCTAGCTAGTCCACTGGTTATAAAGCAGGCTGGGAATGGAGATAAACTAAAAAGCTGGTTATATATATATAGATGTTCCTGGCTCTATCTCAAATAGTGTTTTGGGTATGTAAGTGAGAACCAGGAAATGTGTGTTTCTAGAGCTCCCCTTGTGATTCTTGTGAAAATTTTTGATGAAGGGTTTAATCCTTTTCCCTTGTCTTGCAGATCAGGCCAAGGTAAGTAACTCATCCAAGGTCAAAGAGCTACTACAAAGAAATGTAGCCAGAATTCAGCAGTGCTGACTTAACATCAAAGCTCCTTCACTAGATATCCTGAATTTGTCCTGCAATGGACATACCTGGTCATTTTCAGATCCATTGTTGTATAATATCAAGATCTTGAAGAGTTTTCACAGTTGTTAAAGCCAGACTGTAAATGTGTGTTCAGAAGTGCCCCTTAAATATTTGATGCACCAGGTTCAGAACATTAGAACATTGGTGGATATTCTCAGACCTCAGTCTCATTTCCAGAACCATTTTGATGTGTGTTAAAAATGTTTCTTTTATCTCCCAGATAAAATTTTCTCTCTCCAGTCATCAGATGCCACATTGAGGAAAAAATGTGCCCAAATCCCAAGTCTTTGCTGCTAATGTTAAAAACCTCGGAGGTAGCTTCTTTTCGAGGTCAAATCTCTCAAACTTATTGTCTGTTTATCCCTCTAGGAGAATATGTTGTTATGACCACTCACTTCCACTTGAAGAGAAAGATTGGCTATTTTGTTATTCAGACATACCTGCCATGCATAATGACGGTTATTCTCTCCCAAGTCTCCTTCTGGCTCAACAGAGAGTCTGTACCAGCCAGAACTGTCTTTGGTAAGTGCAAATCAACCCATGCATGTAACAGTCTGGAGTGCAAATTATATCATCTCTGTGACATTGTCAATGTAATAAATAAGTAATTATGCGTTTAGTCTAAAGTTAGGGTCACAAAAAGTTTCACAGAATTAGCATTTTCATTATGATATGATTTCAAAATAAAAGGTAAACCACATACTTTCTTTCTTTAAATAGAAAGCTGTATTAATGTATGTAAATTGATTGGGTTCATCATCCTTTGATTTGATTATTTTGGGAGAGAAATGGAAAGAAACAGCCACAAAATGCTTTATACTAAGTTAGAAAAAAAAAAAAAACACACATATAAATCTTAGTATTCAATTCGTTTACTTAGAAGACACAATCTTGTATCAGTACATTTTTTGAGAATCTAAGAAAATATGAGCACAGCTACCTTCTTACATGCAAAAATAGCAGGGTTTCCTTAAGTAGGGAGAACTGATTAATTGCCATTATACCAATACAAGAATACATCACTATACCTAAATTGTGTGTTCTTAAAAGAGTTAACCTCATGATGTAGTCCAACTCTGCACACATGGGGTCACTATGAGAAGGAATCTACTCCATGGCAACTAATGACAACAACAAAGAGTTACAAATACAGATTTTTTTCACCCAGTAAAGTGTTTTAAATACCCCAGGTTATTCATTTGTTGTTGTTGTTGTTATGTGCCGTCAAGTCGTTTCCGACTCATAGCGACCCCATGCACAGCAGAACGAAACACTGCCCGATCCCACGCCAGCCCCACAATCCCCACTGTACTTGAGCCCATCATCGCGGCCACCATATCAATCCATCTCGTTGAAGGCCTCCCCCTCTTTCGTCCGCCCTCCACCCTACCAAGCATGACATCCTTCTCCAGGGAATGGTCCCTTCTTACAACATGACCAAAATAGGTGAGACGAAGTCTGGCCATTCTTGCTTCCAAGGAGCATTCTGGCTGCACTTCCTCCAGGACAGATCTGTTAGTTCTTTTAGCAGTCCACAGTACTTTCAGCATTCTTCACCAGCACCACAACTCAAAAGCATCAACTCTTCTTCGGTCTTCCTTATTCATTGTCTAACTCTCACATGCTTAGGTACTATGTTATCAGAGCTTCCCCACCTCCCAAAAAAAGGTCTTATAAACTACCATTTTTCCTATTTTATAAAAGTGAATACCGAGGAACAAGAAATTAAGTAACTTTCTCAAGATCAGAAACTATTAGGCAAAGGAGTTGGGACTGAGACCCAAGTACTTAGCTCTGAGCTCTATGCCCTTAACACTGATGATATGCCATCATTTCTTTTATTTTCTTTTTAACCTGATTTATTTACATTTTTTTTTGGTGAAATTATGTACAGCAAGAGGTGCCCCACTTCGATAATTTATAAATGTACAATTCAGTGACATTGACTATACTCTTTAAATGATGCAATCTTTCTAGCTACACTTTTCCAAACTATTGAGCCACTATTAATATAAACTAACTGTTCCCTAAGCTTCTTATCTAAACTTTCAAGTTCCTGTTGTCAATTTGATCCCACATAGATAATTATTTAAAAGACCAAAATGCTCAAGACAGATGTACTTTATTAATTAAGCTAAATTTTGCTTTAGTCAAAGAAGACATTAGGGGATAGTCTTGGTTTGACATATAAGGTTAAAAGATTATTTCAGTGAAATAGTTTGGGAGTTCATTCATCTTTAGTGGCTCCAGAAAAATATGAAATATATTATGAATTTGAAATTATATTCCATAGTTCTCCCCTTTTAATCATGATTCTTCTATACAATCATTGATCGAAACCTATCTTAATGCAATCATAAGACACAAGATGGGTTTGTTGTGGTCAACACAATTCATTCAGAAACAACCATATAGGTTATTTAATAACCATATGGTTATCAGTAAAATGTGCAATTATCAAGTTTCATTATATAACTATCAATTAGGCACCTACTTTATTTAAGACCTTATGCTACCAAATAACACCTTAAGATGCTTATGTTCTCAATTGGAAATGTGCACAAATCCTTTTGATAAAACCCTTCAAAAATATGCAATGCATGAAAAATCACTTACAACTCAGAAAAAAATGTGGGACCCTACTCCAAGGTTCAAGGAAGCTTTTTTTCCTTCTGAATGTGATGAGGTGCTTCTGAGTTGGAAGCCACCAAACCTTTGTTCTGACAATAGCTTAATGTTGACCCCTGTTACAGATTGGAAGAGCCTTCCACTCCAAATTTTCTTATCACTAATTGTCAATATTAATTGGTGTTTCAGCTTTTTATTAGAATTGAATATTGAACTCTTATCAAGATATAT